GCCGCCGCCCGGAGCGCCCCACACGGCTAGCGCCTCAGCCGCCGCCGCGCAGCGTCCCCGCCCCGCCAGGCCCGCCGGCGAAGGAGGGCTCGGCCGCCGGGAAGGAGGACGGCGATTGGCGCCGCCGAGTGTCACTTGCGGAAGACCCCGCAGACATTGGCATTTCTCTGAGGCCTGTCATGCTACTCCGCCCAGTGAGGAGCCGGGGGCGGGACGCGTCCACCAACCCCGCCGTGGATTAGTTGAGATGAATGCCAATCAGAAGCGTCTTCGACATCATTGGTGCGCGTCTGAAGTCGGGAGGACGGGAGAATGCCGAGTGCCCGGCCGGCTTCATCGCCGATTGGATCGTGTTCCCGCCACTCATTCCAGTTTCTGGTGCTGTCACCGCCACGTCACCCGCTCCCATCCGTCTGCGCCTCATCCTCTTCCGCCCTGACGGATTCGTGGTTGGCTGTCAGCTGCTCCACCTCTTCTACCAATGACTGAAAGCGCTGAGGCCGAAGGGGCGCTTTTATTTCTTATTGGCGGACACATACGTCGCTCACACGTTGGTGGAGAAGCGGGGCCACGGCTGGAGATGGTTGGTTTCGGGGCTTGTCAGTGGACGCTGGAGGTTGGCAGTGCTGACCAACGAAAATGACTTGATCAGAGAGGGGCAGATCGGAACAATCAGTAAACAGTAAACGCCTGGACATGGGTTTGGAACGTATCCGCCAGATTGCAGCTTCCAGGAAGTGATGGGCGGTGCTAGGCGTTGTTTGATGTGGACGCGTTGTGGAATTTCCTCCTTCTGGATTAAGACCTTCGGAGGGTCTTGTTTAGAGAAAGCCAGGCTCCTCAGCCTACCTAGGGATCCCTTCTTAGAGCTGCAGGCTCTGCTGCCTGGGGAGCCCGGGAATAGCTTCCTCAGCCCCCTCCTGGGCCCAGGACCCCTGCCACGTTCCCCTTCCCCTGCTGTACCCACTCTGTCTCCGCTGTAGATTCTCACGGGTCTCTACAAAATCTGTCCCTCAAGTCGCTGACCTAGCTTCCGGGGACAGCAGATTGGCAAAGATCTGACTCTCATCTCTTCCAGCTCTAAGGGCCCTGGTTAGGCTTAGCACCGTAAATGCAGGACTCCTGAGCTTGTTTGTTGTTGTTTTGCGGTACTGGGGATTGAATCCTTAGTTTGGATCAGTTTATTTACAACCTGGGAAAAATCACAAATTCAGTAATTAATGAAACATTGAAATGTTGTAAACTATTACTACAAAAATAGCCAAAAGCTGTACTTTGGGGAATCCAGCACCTGTTAACGTTTTAGCAGTTGGAGCTGGCAGTAGGAAGCTTTTAATTTGTAGTAATATGTATTTATTTTAATTATGTGTATTTGCACCCATGTGCAGATGCTGGCAGAGCCCAGAAGAGGGCGTTGGATCTCCTGGAGTTGGACTTACAGACAGCTTTGCAGTCCTCTGCAAGAGCAGAAATTGCTCTTAACAGCTTAGCCATCTCTCTGACCCCAGGAACAGCTTTTAGATACTGCAAAATTTAACTCTGGAGGGCTGGAGAAATGGCTCAGTGGGTAAAAGTGCATACTGCTCATACCGAGTTCAGTTCCCAGCACCCACATCAGACAGCTCCCAACTGCCTGTAATTCCAGTAATTCCAGCTCCAGCTCCAGGGAACTACAACACTTTGGCATCCTTAGGCACTTGTGCTCATATGCACATACACACATAATAATTAAACATAAACCTTTTTAGAGATTATGTTTCTTAGCAATGTCAGTAAAGTAAGCTATCCTGTTTTGAAAAGCCTAGTTTTAAAAGCATTTTTATTTTATTATTTTTTAAATAGTTTATTATTTTTAGTTTATGTATATGAGTGTATTGCCTGTATGTGTCTAAGTGCACCCATGTCGTGCAGTGCTGGTGGAGGTCTGAAGGCGTTGGATTCCCCTGGAACTGGAGTTACTGACAGTTGTTAGCTGCCATGTGGGTGCTGGGAATCAAAATTTGATCCTCTGCAAGAGCAGCCAGTGCTCTTGCTCTTAACTGCTGAGCCACCTCTTCAGCTCTGATTTATTTATTTTTGTGTGTGTTAATGTTTTGCCTGTAAGTATATAGATGCACCTGTGTCATATAATGCCCATGGAGGCCAGAAGGGGGTATCTGATAACCTGGAACTAGAGTTACAGTTGGTTGGTAACTGCCATGTGGATGCTGGGACCTCAACCCCAGGGCCATCTCTCCAGCCCCAGGTTTAGAAAAGCCTATTTTTTTTAAAGAAATTTATTTTTATTTTATGTGTATGCGTGTATTGCCTGCATATAGGTAAGTGCACCCATGTTGTGCAATGCCCATGGAGGACAGAAGAGGCTGTTGGATCCCCTGGAACTGGAGTTACAGACAGTTGTTAGCTGCCATGTGGGTGCTGGAAGTGGAGTTACAGACAGTTGTTAGCTGCCATGTGGGTGCTGGGATTCAAACCAGGTCTTCTGCAAGAACAGTCAGTGTTTTTAACCACTGAGCCATCTTTCTAGCTCCTAGTTTTAACTTCTGTTAACTACTGGTGACTGATGGCTGCTGGGAGAGGGGAGAGTCAATCTCTTTTAAAGTTGTGACTCTTGGAAGGTTAACCAGGCTCCAGTGGATGGACCCAGACTGAAGGTCATTTGGAGATACAAATGTGATTCTATAGGACATCTATATAAAATAGAGTAAATGAAATTAGGTGGAAGAGGAGTAAGAACGGTATAGATGGGCGAGGCAAACTACGCTCAAAATACATTCTATGAAATTCCCAAAAATTCAGCTAAAAAAAAATTTGCAGATAATAGGAAAGGAGGGAGAAAGAAAGAGAACAAAAACCTTATAGAGTCACAGTTGTGATTAAGTGCATTTGAATGTTTGATAAATTGCAAACAGCTACAAAAAAATGTGAGCCATGTTCTGCACACCTCCGAGTTCACTGAACAATCACAAAGGGGAAGCACATACTTTTAAAACCAAGGGATCTGGCTGTCCCTATTTCAGTCCAGTTACCCAACTTAGCCTCACTAGCCCAGGGACAACCAACATTTTTTATGAAGTCCTTGTGGCCTTGCACCAAAAAGTACATATATCATCAGGGAATGAAATTTTCTTGTCAAAATAATTGAATCTAGACGTGAACTCCAATTTCTAGGGACTAGAGGAAAGCAGTTAAAAGATAAACTCCAGTGAGATGAATCAAGAATGTGGGGGCTGGAGACATGGTCTGTGGTTAAGAGTGTTATAGATCAGAGTTCTCAAAAAAAATCACCAGCACCACTTTAAGAAAAGTAGCAAGGTAAATGTTTATTATTTTGACCCGCCAGGCTGTCTATCTCAGGAGTAGAAGCAGCCCTGATCATTGTTGGGTCAGAGTTTTTATAGGATTACAGAAATAGTATTCAAACAGGATACTTGTGAACCAATCAGGTTTGTACAATATAGCAAAACTTTGAATCTATTAATCAACAACCAATCATTATACAGACAAGTGATACAGTCATATAACTTGCCAATCAACTTTGTAATTTTAAAATTAGTCAACTTCCTAGCCATAACAAGTATAGTAAGAAAGCTGAAATCAGCAGTTATCGGGTGGTCATAATAGCAGGGTGGTCTTATACTTTGTGTCGAGGTAACCTAAAATAGCAAGTGAGTTACAGAAGCAAAAACAAGCAGTTAGCCAGATGTAAAATGTCTGAGGTTAGCACGTTCCACTGTTTGTGACTGAGCTATTTCTTAGAACTCAAGGCTGTTGTCTCTTTTTAAATATTTCCCGTAAGTAAAAAGAGGTTACTGTTAAAATAGCTATTCTGAGCAAGATGGATTAACTTAGGTTAAGTTGCTAATATAGTTCAAAGAGCTCTTACTGCTTTTGCCCAGTATCTGCTTCCCTTGGTTCATGCTCACAACTGCTGGTAACTCTAGCTCCAGGAAAATCCAATGCCTCTGGCTTCCCCAGGCACCTGCACTAATGTGCATGCAGACACAAACACACACACACACATAGTTAAACAATAAGATAAATCTATTTAAAAAAAAAAAAACAGAAGAATATCTAAGGTGTTGGGGAACCCTGCTGTTAGGGTCGCAGTCTCTCCATGCCCGGATAGCCGCAAGCCGGCTCGGCGCCTGATGGAAAGACTCCCCTTTTCAGCAGGGCGCCTCCTGCTCTCTTCCTGACTCACTTTGAAGTGGCCACCACAGATGCCTTACCTGAAACATGACCTCTGGCATAGAAACTACCAGGTTTTTTCTATATGATAATCAGGCATTGTCTGACAGCCTGATTGATAGAAGCCCACCGCCACATGTAAATAAAGCATACTACAGAGCACCTATCAGCCGAGGCTTTTGCTACTGCCTCCACACTATAAATCTTCTAGTTTTCACCCTAATAAACCGGAGCTGTATCCTGTGTTTCACTGCGCCTGGGACCAGCCTGTGAGCAGTCTTCCCGGAAGAAGCTGCCTTCCATCAACACTCACGCGCTGCTTCTGCGCTCCCCGCTTTGCTCTCCCTGCCCCCCGCGGACCGGTGGCCAACGACTGCGGGCACAGGGGGAGCATCCCGCACTAAGGCTGAGGGTATTACTCAGTTGGTACAGTGCTTGTCTCACATGCACAAGAACCAAGGTTTCACGCCCAGCA